TTGGAATAAAATGTTCAGTACTAACAGATTACACAGGGAATTGTGTTACAGGAGAGAATCCCCAAATGCAGGGAAACCAAATCTCTGTAATGTACAATGAGCCTGCCTGCCCCCTCCCCCAGAGGGATATTTTACCTTTATTATACTGAATAGGAAACAATTCTTCACTTTGCTGTGGAAGGAGACACTTCTATCTTCAAGGCTGTTCACTATACAACATCTTTCAGTTGACTTAATGGAGGTGACTATTGTGTAAAACTTAATTTAAAACTGATTTGAAGATTGGTTCTAGTTATAACAAAGACACTGATACAATGATGCATCTGAAATGTTTAAATAAACTATTCAAGGAAATGCGAATGTAAAAGAAGTGTGATTTTTAATCAATTTATTTTATATTATTTAAAATGTATGTAACTAAAATAATAACTTGAATATAACAAATTTTAAAATGATCATTATAATTTTGATAGAGATGGAAGTAGAAGGTAGAAGGGAAAAGAATTCCAGGTGATGCAGATGGTAGAGACATAGTGAAATATAGGTGATTTGGGGGGATTAATTGCTGGAATCATCCTGTTTAACTGGAACGCAGAGTGTGTAGATTAGGAAATATAGCTAGGGTAGAATCTTTAAAGGTCTTTAATGAAAAATTGAAATTTCAAATGTAACCTATTTTTTTGGTGAAACTATAGCAGGACTTTGAGTTGGCTAGTAATCATCTCATGAATATAATTAAAACTCCTGATAAACTTGAGAGTAGTAATGGTGTCATGTAATTTATCGTACATGCTGCATTGTGAACCCAAAGCCTGACAGGAGAAAGCAGTCAGGCGACTCTTATTAAATTGAGCTGATCTGTACATTTCAAGTACAGTGAGGAGGATGTTAGCTTTGCCATTTGCTTTTGTTTGGATGCTGCTATAGAAGCATTAACTTGATAAATTAGAGTACACAAAATAAGACAGCATGAGTGAGTCTCTTTCGCCTTTCAAAATACCATGTTAAATGCTTCATAATTGGTTTAGATTAGCAGAGTTTTTGTTGTTGTTTTTCATCTCCAGTGAAGAATAAGAATTGCAGTTACATTGTGATGTGAGGGATTTGTTACATTTATATGAGAGAATTCCATGAAAGTGACATTTATTAGACATTTAAAATGGAGGAAGATTATAGAGTTGCTTTCCCTGAGGTTGTGACAAGTAAATATCACTCATCTGTCAGTACTGAATTGAGGGGTGCTTTGTCAGACACAGTGGGGTAGATTAAAGAACTAATCATACCAATCTGACTTACACGTTTTCTTGATAGTGAATTGTACTATTTGTAAAGAATAGCTTACGCTATTTAAGGAAAGTATTTGCAAATTAAAAATTTTTAGACTAAAAATTAAGTTTAACAGAAACAAAATTGGATGAGGATGGAGATTTGCCATGGACCGACAGTGTGACCTTGAGCTGTTCTTAGGCTCCTGGCAACATAGATGTGTTCAGACTGGGCCTGACACTGGGACTTCTCTGGCAGTGTATTGAACACAGCCTGGTTCCAGGTTCTGGATTCCTCCCCACTCTGTAACTGGAACCACACCTGGGTACCTCACTTGTAGGCTCTGCTTTGCCACAACCCCTACTGTGATGGCTCTGTGTCCCTAAAATAGTGTGATCCACATTTAACACCTGATCTACCTGATGGGGATCTTCTTTTCTTCTGCCATTTCCCTCCCTTCCCTCACCAAGAGTGTAATTTGATCCTTAAACTCCCACCTGGAGACTGGGGCCCTGCTCTTTCCTTTCTACTTGAATATTCTCCCCTGGCCTTTGTCACCACACTCTGATGCCTATCAGTGAGGTTCACTCTCTGTTTAGGATTTCCCGTAGGCCAACTGCTAGGCAGATTACCACCTGAGGACTGTTGCATGTTATCTCTGGAAACCCAGGCTATGTCTGCCTTACCAGAACTACAATCTCCTATGACCACTCAGACACAGAAGTAGCAATGAGCCGAAGTAAAAAGAATCTCCTTCTAGTCCCTGCAGTCTGTCTTACTGTGTTGCAGCTAACCAGGCCATCATACCAATGATATTAGAGATATGTATTACTTTGGGAGGCAGGAGAACGTAAAAGTTAAGAAGGTAGATTTTAGGGTTAGGCTGTTTGGATTCAAAATAGAGCTTCACCAATTACTATCTAGGTGCCACTGTTAAATGTGAAGGGTTTGAGATTCTGTTATATTGTGCTTGCAAGCTAGTAGTTTAGTCTGCCATAGTCTTATGGATGCTGACAGAAGATATGAGAGTCCTGGATCAGTGACGAAGGACAGTTTATTACTCACGGCAATAGCAATCAATAGTCAGAACATCAGCATTTGTCCTGGTTTTCTGACCCCAGTAACAGTACACATAGTGGATTGCATTACTGGAGAGGAATCTCAAATGCAAGCAACCCAAATCTTTTATAATGGACAGTGAGCCTGCCTGATCTCTGCCTAGAGGGAGATGCTATCTATATTTTACTGAGTAGTAAACAATTCTGCTCTTTGCTCTGGATGGAGACACTATGTTTATTTTCCAAGGTTGTTCACTGTACAAATGTACTTGAAAGGAACAGCCAGTGCCTCCGTTTGCCAGATATGCAGAGACATAAGAGACCCATAGAGAATTATCTCCCAACTACTTTGGGTTGACATTTTTGAAGCCTCAGTTTTATCATGTAACAAATTGAATTAGTGGTATAACATAAGTAGTTGTGAGGATCAAGTGGATATAATTCATATAAAATGCTTAACATCATGCCTGACACATTGACAGAGGGCTTTGTCAACGTCAGTTATGATTATAAATGATTGTTTCTTGAATAAGATGCAAGCATATTTATTGAATTCTTTGTTTTCTGTAGTAAATAGATTATTGCAGCTCACTGAGATATTTCACATTATTTGAATCACCAAATATTAGAACTAAAAAAAAGCATAAACCTGGCATTTTATAGATAAGAAAATAGGTTCAGAGAGGTTAAAGGACTTGTTGAATCTCACATAGAAAAGCCACAAAAAGAACAGAGGTCATCTGATTTAAAATTCAGATTCTTTTTAATTACACATCATGCCTGGAGCTCAAGAAATATTGGGATTACAAATGACATAAAGCAAGCCTATGATGTATCAGAAAACATTTCACATATTCCTTTGGTCAGTCTCCCTTCTTCCTGCTTGTTTGACTTACAAACCACGTTCAACTTGGCCCCTGAAGACAAATATAAACACAATAAATAAGTGGTGGAGTGTTAAAAATAACTACCCCATACCTTCTTCCTTTTAGCTCCGTTATAGTCACTGTCTCCATGGCAGAAGAAGACCAAAGAACTGCAAGAAAAGTGCTTCCTGTGTGTGTAGGTGATGCTGAAAGTGTCCCCTTCTGACTAAAGGCAGGGAAATCCTGGCAGAATATCTGGCAGCTGTATGTCAACAGCTTTATGCTGACTTGCGGGCAGACTTCCCAAGGCATGAGGGGGAGCAGTAAGGAAGTGGAAAGAGGGGCTAACAGAACGTCTAGTTCCAGAAGGCAGCATGTGACAATTCAGGGAAGGATTCTATCCTGAAAAGATCTGCAAAAATCAACTCATTGATTTTTGTACCTCTTCTTAATACTGATCCCACTGTTTCTCTCTCTTCTTTAAGAGTGAGGTCATAGCTTCAGTTTCTGTGGGGCTCTGAAATTCCTTCTGAGATCATAGATCAGAGTTAAGCATGCCCAGGTAACTGAAGCAAGATTTTAATAGGAAAGAAACAACGGGGAATGTGAATGGCCCTTTGTCTTATGTCTACATCTAATCCTCTGCAAAATCACCTTCCATTCCAGATAATTCTGCTCTGGGTGTCCCAGGGGTGTCTCACCAGTGCTCCTGAGTTGGCGGCCTTTGGCTCTCATCCCTCACCCCCGGTGGGCGCTGCGCTGCCCTCTGCCAGGCATGACCAGAACTGCTGTGTTTTGCCACCGCTTTGCACCTCTGCACAGGGCGCCATTGTGCATGTGCATGTGTGCGCGTGTGAGAGAAGGACTGTGGTAGAAAACATACCCTTTTCCCTCTGCTTTAGACAAGACCCAAAGCAGTGCCACTTGTTTCTATTTGTTGAGAAGAGGTTAGGGAAATTGTTCTCCAGTTTTTACTTGGAGCTTGCTCTTTCTCTGGAACCCAATTTGAGTGAGCGTGTCAGGCAGTACTGAAAATCCCTGCACCTACACCCCTGTGATGAGAAAGTCGTAGTTAGGGTCAGGCCCATCACAGTTGGGTGTTTCTTCCCACAGGAGAAGCTCTTCCGCTCACAGGCACCCCAGCCTTTCTTCAAATAGGCTTCTGTGGAAGCATCCCTCCAGTTTGCGTTTGTGTCCGGTTATGTCTACACAGCAGTGGGCACATTTAGAGCTCTTTTGCAGAAGGCTGCTAAGCTCTCTGGGCCCTGCGTTCCCCCTGGGCCCGTGCTGACAGGCGTGCTTAAATCTGGTAGCCAGTAGGTCTTGGGTCAAGCTGAAATCCCTGCTACAGTCGTGAATGGTATGCCATATATGTATGGTCTATACCATATTCCTTGCAACAAAGGGATTGACTTATATCCCACCCTCCTCCCAATGTGAGTGTGGGAACATGCCTTAAATTCCAGATATATCATGGTTCATCCACTTATTTATTCTTCTTTTATCAAAGAAGGAATACAAGATGCTTTAGATACAGTTCCTATATCATGACCCTCATCATCTGTTGCTTCTCTTATGTCTTCATAAATGAGAATTCTCCAGTTAAAGCTTGATTACAGCGTCTTATAATTAACTCTGAAAATATCTCTTCAGAAGTTAAGATACTACTATCAACAACTCCATACTTAATCCCTGTGGCTGAAAAGAAAATATTATAATCAGGCATATGCAGGAAATGTGGACTTTAGTTCAGTGATGGATGTTTTAATGTTTCTATGTTTTAACGTTCTCAATGCTCTCTTTGCCCCAGGTCATGCAGATGTATCTTCCCTTTTGTGGAATCGCCATATCTAATGCTCAGCTCTTTGCTGCCTCAAGGAAAGAATATGAAAGAAGCAGGGTGAGTAGAAAGAAATGTTGCTGACAATCCTAAATGTTCTCTGTCTTTCTGGTTTCTGTGAGTCATTATATCTTTTAAAAACACCAGAGATCTTTGAATAGCCCAGGAATCTTTTTTATTTGTATAATCCTGCAAGGCTATGGTCCAAGATACCCTTAAGCAGTAGCTCAAATTCTTTGTTGTTGTTTGGGGGAAATATTACTAACTTCTTTTAAAAAAGAAATTAATTTCGTATCAATACTGTAAGGCATCAGATTCTTGCTTACTTGTAGCTTTGAAACGATAATGCAATTTGGTGATGTTTTTGCAACTTGGTTCCATTAGGAAGCATGATTTTACCCCACTTACTAGATTTTGTTTTTGAATTGAAAGTTTTTCTGGAAGGGCATCACAAGATATTTGGAACAATAATGGAAAGACTTTCATAGAATTATAAAGAAACACACTTAGAGAGATTGAGCTTGTATACCTTCCTAAGTTGTAGAACCAAATAGTTAAAAAAAAGAAAAGAAAAGAAAACCAGTGCTCAAAAAAATTCTAAAATAGCAAGTAGAGATTAAATTATATTAGACTCATTCTACTTTTAAATATAGGAAGATTATTTCACAATTTAGAAATATATTTAGCAAAATGATGTTCAAAGAAACCCTCAGTTAATCTGATCATCAAATTGATTAACAACTTCATTTGCTAAGTATTATTATGAGTTATGAATATTTCTCCAGAAACAAATGAACACAGTTGACGACTACAGCCATCATCCTTAACAAAAAATACCGTATATACCTTTTCTCTGATCTGGATCCTTTTTTCGTCTTTAGCCCCAAGTCTTACCATTCTCCTGCTTTCATCTGGCACTCCAGCAATATAGTTCCCAGCTTCCAGAAAATGATCTGTTGGTTTCATTGTATTATACCTTTAACCACATTCCTCCCTCTGTCGTCAATGCCTCATGTCTTCTTCCTTTCCCCACCCTCCCTGCCATCTACCTTGCACATCCTTCGGGACCCACCTCTACCTTCCGGGTAGTCTTCCCTTCTTTGTGTACTGTTTTTCCTTGTATCTCCTGCTATTATTCTATTGTGGGTATCTATCACACAGTATCATAACATTTAATGAGGGCTCTCCTCTTCAACTACATTACGAATTCCTTAAGGGAAGTTTCATGTAGGATTTATCTTTGCATCCTTGTGTATGGCACAATTCATTTACTCTTTCAACAAATATTGATTGTGTAGTTCTCTTCAGATTCTGTCTATCCAAATCCATGCCCTCATGGAACTCACTATTCTACTGGGAGCAATAAATAATAGACAAGAAAATAAATATAAATAATATAGCGGCAAGTTGTGATATGTGCTATAAAGAGAGTTAAAGTGAGATAAAGGGATAAAGGGTTCTGGAAGCATAGGATGAGATGTTTATCTTAGAGAGTGATCAAGAAGATTTCTATAAGTAGATGATACATGACCAGAGACCTGAATGAAAAGAAGGAAAAAGCCATACAAAGGTCTAGGGAAAGTATTCCAGGCAGTGGAAATCTCAAGTGCAAAGGTCCTGGAGCAGGAGAAAGCTTGGTCAGTGCATATAAAGAGCAAATAGAAAGAGAGAGGATGAAAGAAAAGAAAATGAGGATGGAGATGAGCTAGGGGCCGGATGCGAGAAAGGCCTGTGGGCAGAGCAAGGACTTTGTCTTTTATTCTGGGTACCATGGTAAGCCATTAGAAGATTTTGAGCTGTGCCTGATTTACTTTTAAAAGAGATCACTCTGGCTTCCCTGGACACAATAAACTTACTGGAGAGGGGAAGAGAAGTATGAAAGCAGGGAGAAGAATTAGGAGAGGACTATATTGAAGTCAAGAAATAATGCAGCCAGGACTAGGGCAGTGAGAAGTGAGAGATTCTCTCCAAAATCAATGGTGAAATCTACAGGGCTGGCTGATGGCAGAAATGAGTGAAAGAGACTGTTGGCTTGTGCAGCTGGCACAAGGAGCAGCTGGCACAAAGGAGTCTAAAGTTTTGGGGAGATGTAAGATTGGAGATTAAGATTTGGGACCCATCATCATGTAGATGGCGTTGAAAGCCAGGGGACTAGCTGGACTAATCTGGGGAAGGAAGAACGTGTACATAAGAGAAGGAAAGAGGTCCAGGATAAGCCCAGGAGCAAAAGAAGGTCACTAGAAGAAAGAGACCGATGCAGATATTCACTTCCTGGAAGGTAAGTGACATCAAAAGGCAGGGAGTGTTCAGCTGTGGGAAATGCTTCCAGTGTCTGTTGAATTGCATGTCATCCGAGATTTTCTCTTCTTTTTCTCCTATTCTGGAGCTAGTCTGCGTTGTTATTTGTAAAACTTTCATCACTTGTTAGTAAACCAGCAATTTTTAATTAGAAACAATAAAATTACTGTGATGTGATTTGTTAGTGCAAGACTCAAGGCACAATTAGTTTCTCCTCTGAGATAAGTGTTCTTGAGTATATGGGTCCCAGAGGCCTTCTCCACGCAGTCCCAACCAACTGAAAAGTTAAATAATTGTTCAGTTAATATGATCTATATGAAGAAATAGTCTGGATGATCATGGAAATAATGTTTTCTGCCTTAGTAACAGGGAATTTTGTTTGTAATTTTATTCAGACAATTGTCTCATTTTTAATCTTATATTTGAACATGAAATTATTACGCGTTGACCCCTTACTGAGATTTGCTGTCCAAATTGTCAGGATTCACTTAAAACCTTTTGCACCTCCTGGTGTTTGTCTTTGCTTTGGGACCTTACAGCAACATGATCCTTAGCCATATTCAGCCTTTCTTTAGAGATAATGCTACCCAGGATATTTGGTCCTTCTTTAATTGCTGCATAAACTAGACTCATTTCATGGATGTCTTAACTCATTCAAATGCTTTCCTACTTGAATGGATTCAGAGAAGAAATTTACATGTTTCAAATGGTTTCAGAACAAATCAAATTCATTATTAAAGCTGAAAAGTAGTCATGTCCCTGGGATGATGGTCAGCGCCATGATGAATAGATGTGAATTTGACAACTCATGAAATCTTTTTGTGGGAGGTCAGACTTGAGATCACACATCTTATTAAATTCTTTTGCATAAAGCACCCTCTGGCCAATTCATTGACTGTGTCATTTTCTAATTCCTCTCTGAGTGAAGCGTAATATCTACCACCTGTACATAAGCCACTATTCTTAAATCTCCAGAAATATCCATGTTATTAAAAATTCCAAACAAGTATTATTTCAATGCAAAAATTGTAAACTAATTTAGCTAGATAAAATGACAGGCTATTGTGATTTAATTTTTAAATGAGTACATAGTTTTCAAGTTAGAATTTAGGTTTTTGTCCTTTAATTTGTATGCTTTTCACTCTGCTGTTTTAACAGAAATTTTAATGGTGTTTTCTTTCCTGAGATATACAGTAGTATCTAAATGTTCTCCTAAAACGTTTTGGATGAGGTAGTATTCCCTCTTCTTATGTAGAAGGATTAATGAGAGTTATATATTTTGAAGGCTTTGAACCTTCATTAGTATTCACCTCTGTAATTGTTTGAGAGTTCTGTGAGAGGTGTGCATTAGTGAAAATGAGTTTCAAGTTTGACCAAGATGCTATTTCTTCCTGATAGTGAGGAAGAGCTGCTTTGTGCTTTCCTGAAATAAATGTGCTTCGTTCTTTATAAAATGTTGAGTGTATATCTACTTTCATTGCAGAAAAACTACTGTAGAAGGGGAGAAAAGGCTATAGCTAATGACTCTATGATCCCTGTTATATGGAATAGCTCTATTCTCAAGTTGTATTTTGCCAGGTTAAGAGTGTGTTCTAAAATGAAATGATGGAAATATGTCAAACCAATCATAAACGCTTTTAAAATTTACCACACAAAATTATTTATGATATTTTATTAGAGCAAAGACTAAATGGAGTTTTGAGGGAAAAAAAATGACCTTTTTTTCAGTTCTATATCCACCTAAATACATCCATTTCATCTTTCCTAGGCTTTGCTAGAGGTGGTTAATGACCTCTTTGAAGAACAGACTGACCTGGAGAAAATTGTCAAGAAAATAATGCATCGGGCCCAAACTCTGTTGAAATGTGAACGCTGCTCTGTTTTACTCCTAGAAGACATTGAATCACCAGTAAGCTATCTTTTACCTTTCATACACAGTTGAAGGCAGTGTGAATGGAATCAAATTGAGTTTATTTGTAATTAAACATGTGAAATCATGACTTGAACCACTCTCTTTGTGACACTTCTAACCATGAGGTGACGGTTTATAAAATAAGAATTTCTTATTTCCTTGACATGTTATTTTCATTCTTATTTTTCTGTTATTTTAGAAACGCAGACTCTTAAGTTGATGGGGATCTTAGAGATCTATCCCAGCCCAATGTATTTACAGGTGAAGGGCTAAGGGGCTCAGTGGTTTGTCCGAACTCACACAGTTCAATTAAAAGATACACTCGTGTCTGTCTCCCATTTTACTTACCCATTAAGGGGAAGGCCTTCAGCATTTCTGGGAGTGGATTGCAGCCCAGAAAATGTCCCACAGCTCTCTTAAGGGGAGGAGAAAGCAAACAAATGAATGGAGAATCGATGCACTTAGCTCTTGGAGCCTGGACAAATTGGACTGGAACTGAGTGGGGTGGCCAGTTGTGACTGGGCTGTCCCCTGCAGCAGGTTTGTCCTGCTGAGGTTTCCAGGTTCTTTCACGGCTGCTTTGGGCCTGTGGATACTGGCACAGGGCAGACTAACCAGGTAAGGGAGTCTCCTTCCTGCCTCACTGCAGTGGTACCTGTCACTCCAAAGGGAAGCATCTAGCTCAGGGCCCTGGGCCTGCGCACTTGGTGATTCGTGGCCAGCTTTCAGGTTTTGTTAAGCCCTTTGGCCCTTTGGGGGAAATCTGCTGCATAGATGAACAACTGTATTGAAAATAATGACCATCATCAATCTAAGTTCTTGAAAGTTAAATGTATAAACCCTTGGCAGCAATTTAATATGTTTGCCGAGAACTCTCCTCGGCAACCGGGAGTTGTCCACCAATTGAGAGCTGTTTGAATACCTCAGAGAGTGATATTTTACCATACTTTACTTAGAAAAGATTATTGCTTTTGCCTTTAGGTTTGTTTTTCTCAAAGAATCTTAGGGTAAATTTTGGAGATTTAATAATAAGTACTGTAAAACTTACAAAGTTAAGGTTTTAAAAAAAATCTATATATGTTTAAAATGTTCAGGAGTGTTTCCCCAGATTTTAGCAGAGCTTGGGGTTATTTTTTTTTCAGTTGGTGTGGTTTACAGAAACAATAGCCTTGCAAGTATCCTCTGATTGTGTAAACTCAGCTGAACCTTGGGAGAACACACACACACACACACACACACACACACACACACACACACACACACACAGTAGCCTGTTAACCCAAAATAAGTGACTGAGGCAAAGATCTCAATTAATGGAGGTTTATTAAACTAAAGTTTGAGGATGTGCCTGGGAAAAACAAGCCACAGAGTATCTATGACTGTGTTTTCTGAGTGGGATTTGGGAATTTCAGTATTAAAAGGTATAGAGCACACAGAAAGAAAAAGGAGGAGTGAGGTGGACAGTGAGGCAAATGGTTGCATTTTTGTGAGGCTCAGGAAATCTGAATTTTACATAAGATAAGGTAAATGTTAGAAGAGAAAAAGGGAGTGAAGGAAGAATCAAATATGCAGATGTCCCTGGGTAGGTGGAAGAATGATCTTCTCTTGTTTCTGTTCTGCACCTAGGAAGATAAGCTTGTAACCCACATTATTATTGTAGAATTGAATAAACTTTCATTTTAAGAGCTAGACTTAGCTTGTAGACCTAAAGTTACAATTTGCATGTCTTTGTGTATGGGAGGCCAGCAAGGAATTTCCTTATGAATGATCTGTGGGGGCAGTCCTTGTAGATACATGAGGCCTTTAGCCTTTCCATGGGACTCTGGCTAATGTATAATGTTAGTAACAGTTATTAATTCAGAAGGAGGTGGAGTATGACTCCAAGCCTCCAGGCTTGACCTTCCCTTTTGTATAAGGAGTTGGGGAGGGGAGGGGTCCTGAGAGTTTTCTTTTCCTTTACAAACCCATACTTATGCAGTGTGCTTCCAGACACTTTGTGAAGCTCTTGAGTTTCTTTAATCCTCACCTTATGAGGTACGTATTATTACCATCCTAATTTTATAGATGAGGAAATAGGTTTAGAGAGTTGAGTGACTTGCCAGAGTCACCTCCAGTGCCTGACTCTCAGCCCCTGAAAGGAATGGGAAGGTGTAAGGGTGCTCATTGGTGCCTGGCAGACTGCAAGACCACAGAGAAGCACCTGTTAAGCAAAGGCAGGAGGGGGCAGTTGTTGGAGCTTTGGCTGCCAGGATTACCTGAGGCATCCCCAGGTCCCTGTGGTAGCAACTGGCTGGGGTGGGGGGTAGGGTAGGGGTGGAAACAGGCTGGAATCTGGACAAGGGCATACTCATTGTCTGTTAGTTCAGTTGTAAACAGGCATGAAAGTGACTTAAACTAGCTAAGGGTGGTCATTCTTGCTAAGCTTCTTACCTGGACTAGGTTTTATAGTGTGGTCTAGCTCTTGGGCAAATAAACAGAAAATTATAGGTGATGGAAGCTGATGTCAAATGTGGGGGCAGAGCTGGAGGGGATAGTAGAGACAGAAGTATCTTCATGGCATAAGGTGGCGGGAGGTCAAAAAAACACCATCTAGCAATAAAGGTACTAGTCCATTACTGAAAGTGTAGAAAAGACCTTTTGGCTATCACCACTAAGCATTCTAAGACTACAGTGTTGGGGTAGAAAATTCTGGGCCACTCCTCATCATTTCTTTTTTTTTTTTCTCATCCCCTCCCCTTCAAAGTGAAGATGAATTCATCTAATCCATAGGGGCAAGGGCTGAAGGTAAAAGTGAACCATGAAAGAGAGAAGCAGGGAGAGAGAGAAGCTCAATCTGCTCAGCATTGTTTTATTAGATAGACGCTGTGAAGAATGTTTGCCAAGGCTGCTGCCTGGGGAGGTGGTGGGAGAAGTTGGGGGTGGAAATGGTGGATGTATTTATGTGGTATCCCCATGCAGAAAACCATCAATACTGTGCTTTCCTTGAACACTCTTCTCACCGAAGGTTTCTCAAGCCTTTAGATTTACAAGTGCTGCTGTTTGTGCACAACCTTGGTCACCAGAGAGAGATTATAGGAAGGAGACCAGACACTAGTTACACCACATCCAAGAGAAGGAGCCAGGCAGGAAATCAGAAACAAAAACACGGCACTGGCACAGTGGTTGCAACAAACAAAAAATCTGGAGGAGACAAAGTTCTTTGGCTTGACTTCCTCCTTCCCCATCTCAGAATGCTGAAAGTACAAACTGATATTAAAAATGTTTGTCATCTACATTTAATGAGGGGTATGAGTAATTATTAGAGAAGGAACTTAAGCAACACTCATAAACACAATTTATTTGATTGACCAAGCGCAGAATGAGATAGATTTTTATCCATTCAAAAATGGAAAACAAAAGTGGAACTTGACAACATGATTTTAAATTTCTAAAAGTTCATATGGAAAAATAAACACGTATGAATAGCCAGAAAATTTGTTTAAAAAGCAACAAAGATGAAGAATGGGTGTGTTTTTGCCTGTGAAGCTGTTGAAATGTATTATAAACTAGAGGTAAATTCCTTGTAAATAAACAGCTGAATAGAATAGATTCCAAATACTCCAATGCATCTTGAGAATCTAGTAAAGGCTTGTTAGAGTTTAGAAAATTATTTTAAGGGCAAAAAATGTATATTAAAAGAATTTCAGACTTGACAAACTTATTTTTACTCCATGTATTTCAACAAGACATATTTTTATAATTATAGGGAATGCATATAGCATTTCCACATCACCAAGCAAATCTAGAATTCATTATACCTTTTCCTTTTAACTTTTTTCTATATTATTATCAGCAAACCTATCGATAGCTGGATGCTTTTTAGACATTGTCCATCACCTCTGATGCCCCTGGTATTTATGATAAACAGCAAAGAGCTTTCTCTTATGCAGAGTGCTAGTTCCAGTTTTAGATGTGTTATAACCAATTGTTAGTTATCCACATAAAATAAAGCAAAAGTTACAAGAAAAAAGACTAATATCAAGGTGTTAAGGGAAGTCTCCCTCCCCAAACCTCTCCTCAGCCCTGTAGTCAGCCTGGTGTGTTATTTCAAAATACAGAAACAAATAGCTAAACTCTTTGCTTTTGGGTTCCAAAATGGGCTTATAAAATTTATAGCAGGGCTGGGACCTGGAGAATCTTGGCTGTCAGGATGAGGGAGGCACAGAGTTGTGACCCAGACCCAGAGGAACTGTGGTGATTTAAATATATCCAGTGTTAGTGATGACTATGATGACTATGCTGAAGCCCAGCAAGGCCTTCTTACCTCATAGCAGAGGCCAGTCTGGGTGAGAAGGTGACTATAGATCAGCTTCTGTCCAAAGGACCCAGAAAGTTGCATGTCATCCTGGTGAGAATTTCTGTATTAAATGAGTTCAAATCTGAAATGACTAAGAAAACTTGAAGTAGCTGAATTTAGTTAGAATATTCTCTTTTGTCTTCTGGAAACAGGCAGAACTGGACCTCAAGAAGAGAATTAGTTGAGTTATAGAAAGATAATTATTATTTGAACAGCTGTATTGTGGCCTTTGAAATTTAAATCAATACAGAAATTACATTGTCTAATTAGTCATCTTGTATTTAATTCACATGTATGACAATGGAAACATTTGAAATTAGATGGGTGGAGAGAAATGTTTTGAAAACAAATGTTTTGGAAACAAATAGCTGGCAATTTAGAAAAAAATACAAAAAGCTGAATTCCTACCTCATACCTGTGAAAATATAATTTTATAAAAAACAAAATTATGGCTGTCATGTAAATATTAAATAAATGCTTGTCAAAGATTGTTTTTAACTCATTAACTTATGAGAAAACCAATATGATGTTAAAACCAGTCCAAAGAACATTTGAGAAGTTAGGTATTTATAGGCAATGTTAGGATATAATTTCAAGGTTAGAAATAAAACCAGTTAAAGGCAAAACCAAGCCATAAATTGTAACCTTTGAGGTTATCTCTG